TTGTTCTTAGCACTGTGTGTGTTTAGAATTAAAAACCAAAAAAAATCTGGAGAGATTGAGAATAGGTGTGCGTGAGTGTATTACCATGTGAAGAGAGAGAGAGAGAAAAAAAAGGTGGGTCCTCTGTTATTTTTTTAATTGTTAAAATGAATAAATAAATATTAAATTTAAAAAAAATGAAAGAAAAATGAAAAATAAATACCCCAAGGGTATTATAGTCATTTCAATTTTCGGAGGGACTATTTTCACATACAAACCACTCCAAAAGGACCATGAATCCAAAAAACTCGAGGTTTGGACTAAAACCCTAAAAATTTGTATACCACAGGGATCATTTTTGCAATTTTGTCTTTAAAATATAACTTTTAATAAATTTTATATTTTTATAATTAATAGGGGTGAGCTCCGTACCAACCCGAAAGTACCGAGAACCGAAATGTCTGATTTGAAGGTACCGAATCTTGAACCAATACAATATGCGAGTAGTTTGGTACCATTATCTTCTAGAACCAAAAAAAATTTAGAGTCTTAAAGTGCTCTGTAACTCATACAATAGTCATCTAATTAAGTTGAACCGAGCATAAGTTGTAGCTTAGACAATGAATAATATCTAGGAAAAAATTAGTTTATTCGGATCTCGTATGAGAGAGGTATGGTTGTTCAAAGTTGACAATTTTCTTTCCCTTAATCTAAAAATGTTGAAAAAATCAAGTTTGAAAATAGCACCAACAACCCATGTTTAGGGCAATGTAACCCGTCAATACATATTCAATCACCTAAGGTGATTGTGGACTCTAAATTGTAGGCAAGACAAAGGAGAATATGTAAGAAGAAGCAACTCATTTCGAGCTTGTAAAAAAAATTATGAGGGTTGGAATATGGTAAAAACATGACAAATTTTGAAACAGCCCCAACATCTCATGTTTGAGGCACCGTAACTTAGACAAAATTTATCCAATTAAACTGGTTCTTGAGTCTAACTTGTAGTCAAGACAACAAAGAGTATGCAAGAAAAAATTAGCTCAATTCAAACTTATATGAAAAAGTTACGAGAGTTAGAATATGGTAAACAACAATTAAAAGAGTTGAAACAAACTCAAGTACTCAACATCCCATGTTTGAGGCTCTGTAACTCATACATGGTATTGAATCGATTAGGGATCGATATAGGTTTGGCTCGGTACCAGTGGTACTTTTGCTCAACCCTAAATTAATAGTAGGAACGACGGACTTCTAATAAAAATATTTAATGAAATCAATCGATCCCCAAATCTACTTTGACAAAATTTGGACACAAAAGGAGTTTAATTTGAAAAATGACACAAAAACCCTAGAGTTTATATGATTTCAATGGTTTTACTTAAGCATGATTTTTTTTGTCTTTTGGTGTTTATACTCTAAATTTGTCAAGCTTTTTCTAAAAATGGAAAATAGCTTGTGTTAGATGTAGGGATTTGGAATAACAATACACTAGGATATTTCATGGATCGTGATTGTGTCATTTTTCGAAATCTGTAATTTGTCCCTATTGTATGGGGGTTAGAAGAATTCAGAAGTGGGATAATCTGAGAAATTCAATAATGATTATAGGTCTAATCAGAATATGAAACACATAAATACCTTATTGTGATTTATGTTTTTCTTAAACAATTTTGAAGAGTAACGTTGCAGTTTTCCGTAATGTATCTAATGTCTGCAACGTCTGTCTATCTTAAATACATAGAAGATGGCAATTTACAAGGGAAAAACGATGTCTGATAATAATTATGCAGTAATGGACTTTAGTGGGAAAATACATTTTATGACAGAGCCCCCATGCGGGGGCTCTGCCCCTTGGACCCGCCTACGGGTGCTGCCCTTGGAATCATTCCCAAGGGGCGTTGCCCCCGACCCTCGTATTCCCGAGTCCACATTCATTGATTCGAGTTTGCACCCCGCATAATTTTGTCAAACTTTCTCGGTTACCATACCACGCAACATGGCATATGGTTGTTGACCGAACATCTTGAAGAAAAGGGGATTCTTTACACCGAGACCCACGACCTCATGTACACCAACTAAAGTTTTTGGGTTTATTTCCTTGAAAATTAATTATATTATGCCTTTAATTTGCTATATATTTTGTATTTTTGTTACTTTCATTTTTTTTTTGTACTACATAAGTCCTCAAACTTTGTTTTTTTCAAAAGATATCAACATGACCGGATATTTATTGTGCATGCTTATTTGGCATCTATGTTAACTTAATTACTTGCTAACTTGTACACAATTTTGTTTGTATCATAGCTCGCACCTTCGGTCATTCTTTTCAACCCAAATCAATACATTGCTACCATATCGATTGAATAAGGAAATCCAAAGCATGTCTTCCTCCTCTTACTTATCAAACTGAAATATGGAGGTGCACTCTTAATATCATTGTGATTGTGGACTAAGTTCTTGGATTAGGATATCTTGGAAAGAATATCATCGTGTATGAAGGCCTACAGTATGCCTTAATTTTATGGTAAGTGTTTTATCTCGAATTATTTCAAAGCATGAATATTTGAACTAAAGATTGCAGCTTTAAAAAATGACATGAATGTGTTCAAAACCTCGTAAGACATCAATTACATTTTACACAAAGAAAGGCAGCTATTGCATACATGAGCCTGCTATATAAATAATACAGGTAGTAATAATAAATATATAATAATAGTACAAGTTTTTCAATAAAGAATAATAATATGTTGAGATAAGTTAGGTAACCAAATAAAAACATATAAACACCATCCAATTCCAACCTTCTCTCCTCTCATCTCCATACACATCTAATATACAATTTTCTCTAATCTACTCTTGTACTTGTATTATACTTCTTCTCCCCAAAAAATTCATCAATCTTTCTCTTTCCTTCCTTTTTATTTCTAATTTTCTATTCCCTCTGTCCAAACCAACCAAATCAATATATATTTATATTTATATTTATATTTATATATCCAAAAACCAAAACAAAACAACTCACTAATCAATCAATCAATCAATCAATCAATCGCCGCCTTATTCTTCCTCCCACTAATCGGCTTCGGCAACCCATCAAAAATAGGCCTCGCAATGGCAGCTGTAGAAGCTTGAATGTCAGCCGTCAAATTCAACATGGAAGTGGGCCATATCGATGATGACGTGGACGTACCGTTACTTTGCATCTCATGAAAACTCGGTGAACTCGAAGACTTTTTTACTCCATTTGAAGCCTCCGTAATCACTGATTCCCCCAATTTTAACGGAGGCATATTCGGTAAACCGTCGGCATCACCAGCGGTTCGACTGGCGGCCTTTGGCCGGAGCGCCAGGCCTTTGCCGCCTGCTGCCGCAAACGCACCGTTGGAATTGCTGGTGTCGGGTTTAAGCATCGTTTCCGGGGTTTGATTCTGGAGGTCGATTTCCGATCGCCGTCTTCTCATCCATCTATCGTACCATGTGTCGGAATCGGAATCGTGGATTCCGTTTGTGACAGGAATGGCGTTTCCGTTTCCGCCCTGCTCTGACATCCCGTTAGCTAAGCTTTTACATTTCCGGTGAAGTCCGAGCGGCGGGTGGGAATTTGGTCCGGTTTGATCGGTTGGTTTAAGACCGTAATAGTCTCGTAAGGCGTCCATTGATGGTGAAATGTTTCGTGGTGAAGAAGAAGAAGATGATGATAATTTTAAGGATTTTATTGAATCCAACATATCAGAATGTCTTTGTCTTTGTCTTGGTGGTGTCATTTCCGAGTGTTTTGGCCTAAAATAAAATCACCCATGTTAAGATAATAACTAAAGTTTTCATTTTTATGTTTTAACTATTAAAAAAGATTTCAGGGGTATTTTTGTCAGCTGAGTTTGGACACATATACGTTGTCATGTGTGAGTAAACATAATTTAGAGACAAGATTGATGGTTAGAAACTTAAAATGAGAAGTGAAGATGAAATGACGTAATTACCCTTGTCCATTTGACATGATTGGAGAGGGCGGGTGTCTTCCGGGTAGGGGTATATGAAGAGTCTTGCGGGCAAACATTTGTAGGTCAGTTGTTAGGCCATTCATCTTTTTTATGTCAGCCACCTAACATACAAATATACAATGCAATGTTAAAAAATACAGAAGATGATAAATAAAACTAATATACAACACATAACCAATTGAACATATGTAGATTTGACACCATGTGCATCATTGACAAATGACAAGTACAATTCTTCACATGTAATTAAAAATGGAAATATTTCAGCATACATCATATCCCAATTCCATTCATTTAACATCCTTTTGGTGTCATTCACATAAATACATAAACTTCCCTTTGATTCACAAAATGAAATGACTTGAAAGACAAATTTGTCATGACTCCAAGTTTTTGATTTTTTGGTGTCCTTATATCAATCATTTAATGTCAGCTGAGAATGTAGACCAATAAACAACCTTATAATTTGAAATCTTAACAAGTTTGATCTTTCTAACATACTATTCCTTTGTACAAAAGATTAGATTTTTTTTTTTGTATCTAAATTCAAAAGTAGAACTGTTTAAAACATCAATCTAGATTCATTATAAATTGTACTGTGGACAGTCTTATTTAGGGCAGGAAGCAATAGAATGTACTTGAGCAGTGTATTAAATTTGGCATCAATAATTCAGAACTGATCATAATGTACAGTTTTTACAAGAGGGAGTATGAAAATTGAAAAACCAAAATATTTGTACTTTTGAATGAAAGTTTATTAAGCAATAACATCCAAGTAAATATATCCAAAAACCATAGAGTTGCTCAGTTTTGTGTTCTAGTTCCTTATCCAGATTCTTCCTACAGATTAATTTGAACTATTTTTCTGTTTAAGGACAATCGCAAAATGGAATGTACCGGATTTCTGTAAAGAACATATAACGAGCTAAACATCAGAAACTCGTTAGTATAAAAAGTTGAAGGAAGTTGTCACGACATGAAAAGACATAAAACCAAATTTTTTAGATTAATTTGTCGAATCAATTGAAGATTGTATTACCTCAACGCCATACTTAATTGCGACACCAGCGAGCGTATCGAATTTCGTGACGGTATGTTCGATATACCCAAAACCGCCGTCGCCGACACTCGAACCACCGACACCAGATGAAGTAGGAAGCGAAGATTGCATGAAAGGAGACGATGAATCATTAATTGGAAGCAACTTCGAAGGCGGCGGGGATTCCATCAATAAACCCCGATCTAATTGTTGATTCCAAAAATTAACCCCACACCCACTGTTTCGTCTCTGAATCCGCATATTTCCCGATTAACACCATCCGTCCAAAGATTTAGAATCGGAAAACCGAACCCTAACACATAAATCCTCCGCACATTGGTCGGAGAAACATATAGACGATGATCAATCAATTTCAACGAATAGGGAATTGATTGAAACACCCAGAAAGAATGATGAATCAATGAATAAAAAGGGGAAAAAGAAAGCGAATAATTTTTTTTTTTTGTAGATCTGGTGAATTAATCCAAGATCTCGTGGCGTATTGAAATCGGCGTGTCCGAAAGCGTGTCTGAGAAAAAGTTATGGAAGGAGAGAGATGGGGGCAGGGGATGATGGTGATGACGCTCAAACAAACGCTGCGTTGCCTTCAATTGTGGCACGTTGGATTGGATGTTGCTCAAATTGTAAAATTGTAAAATTTGGATAAAGTAAAACTTTGTGTTTGGTCAACAATACTTCTTTCTCCTCCTCTTTATATACATAAAAATACTTTTTTTTCGTTTATTTGTTTAAAAAAAATTACTTTGTTTGTAAATTTTTATTAAGACATAAATTATATATATATATATATATATATATATATATATAATACACTGGTAATTATTCAAATAACAAAGTCAATCAATTTTGTTTTTATTAGGATACAAACTAAATACTTTTCAAAGGGTTGATTTTTTATATAACAACCAATCATTTAAAGTGTCGTCTATTGTACTTATTTTTTATACACATATAATCTCACAACTTGAGCTTAGCGTTACAATCATGTGAAAATATGACCTGGCCGACTAAAGGTTTATTGACTAGACATCCAAGGTGTTGGATTTCTTTTTAACGTAGTATTTTATTATTATTATTATTATTATTATTATTATTTATTACAATAACTAACCCCACCCCCTATTTTGTCTTTCATGTTTGTCTTCGGTTATTTGAGTGGGGGATGTAACGTACACCATGCCCATTTTGTACATCTAAGGCAAGGCTATAGGATGTGTATGTGGTATTCCATGATACTCTCCATGTAGACGGTGTTAGACACCGTGTCGGGTTTACAGTTTCAATGCGGTAGTGCCGAGCTCGGCTAGAAACTATCGTCCTTCCTCATCTCTCTTCTCCTTCCCTTCTTCCTTCTATTTTTGGTACACCACTCCTAGTATGTGGTAAACAAGGAGGTAAAATGAGATGGTGGTAGGGAAAGCGGAGGTGGAGAGTCTTTATCATGGTAGAGCTATGACATGACACCTTTCAGCCTAAAGAGGGAGGGAGTAGTGTCACAGAAACGACACTCCCTCATATGCCATGTAGACACCACATAGGCTCCATGTCAACTTTACCACAAAAGTGTGGTTTTTTGCCACACACTAGGTGTGGTGTACCAAAAGAGAGAGAGAGAGAGAGAGAGAGAGAGAGAGAGAGAGAGAGAGAGAGAGGCAACTGAAGAAGGAAGGGAGATAAAGAGAAGAGAAAGTCTGTCTAGATATTACCGTGTGCGGCCAAAGCGCACCCCAAACCGTATGGTGGAGGCGGTGTTCCTCAGCGTCATCGTGGCAAAAGTGCGGTTTTTACCACATCCGCTCCCTTTAATCTAATAACCACATCCTTGAGTTATAAGTTTGTGGTTTGAGTTATTAAATTCCATTTATTAAGCTTACAGTTCAAATATTAAATACACAAAATATTGTTAGTGCTCCATGTTAGTATGTTAGCATTTAGGGTTTATGCCCAATGCCTTTAGGGTTTAGCTTAGGCCAAGGGCCATTTATGTATCCATATTTAAATAAGGTTTAACCCTCACTATTAATCGGTCAGTCTATTATCTTATATGGTATCAAAGCTCTGGGTTAAAACACTACAGTTGACCACAACCCACAGTTGTCGCCCTCCACCTCCGAAGACATTCTCTCATAGTCGTTAGAGGTGCCTTCATTACGCTCCACATTTTCCTTTTTTTTCTCTCCTAAATAATAAAACAGTCGTTGGTACCAAACCAGAGCTCTTTCATTGGTTGTTATTACAGCCTCGTTTGCATATGCCTTGTAACACCCTGTCTCTGATCATTTCTTATTTCAAGGTCGTGGGCTGGAAGTCGATTGTGTAAAGGCTTTGGGCCTTAAGGAGGTAAAGTTTAGTCCTTGTGGAAGGAGATAATGATGGTTAAGAGATTTAACCCTTTAACTGCATATTGGGCCGAATGGTAGAAATGGAAAAATCATAGGTCGGGTTCTTGCATGAAATATGGATTTTTGTTCGATGAGTTTTTAGTCCAAGATATCTAGATAATAATGTGGGGCTCTTCAATACCATTATGTGGATATAAAGATCATCGAAAACGGAGTTTGAATAAAGAAGTTATGACCGTTAGAAGTTAAGATGATTTTGGGTTAAGTTGAGTACCTTGGGCGTACTAGGCAATGACAGATCGCGAAATTTAATCTGGTACGCTGGGCGTACCAGAAGTACATTGGGCGTATGCGAACAGCACCCAAACCCTAATTTGAGGGTTTTGAGCCATATTTAAGCTCATTAACTTCCCCAAACCCTTTCCATTCTCAGCCTTCATCGCTTTAACGTCCTCCCTTCAACCCTAACCTTAGTTTGAGCCTTGTGAGCTAAATAATGAATTTTTGAGTGCTTTGGAGTGTTCTTGGTGCATCTTGGAGAAGAAGGAGCTCACTGGAGAAGTGTTAGTTGCATTGGAGCTTGTAGATCCAGGCCTTGTTCACCTTGATCTTTCTTTTGGAGTTATAAAGCTTGAATCTTGATGATGCATTTGTTAGATCTAGCTAGTTTTGGGTGGTGTGAACTTTTTGTCACTTTAGTGCATAATGTTTAGATCTTGAAAGTTTGTGACCTTGTTATGGATAAAGTTGGAAACTTTATCCATCTAAACATCATTTTGATTCAGATCTAAAGGTTGGAAACTTTGACTTGATGGATTAAGTAAGAAAGATGCACTTTCGGTCCCTTTGAAACTTTAAAGACTAGATCTTGGTTTCTTGGACCATTCTAATGGATAAAGTTGGAAACTTTATCCATTTTGGAGCTATTAGGAACCATAAAAATGTGATCTTGGTCCTTTCATCCTTCCATGAAAGAGTTAAGATGTCTTAATGGATAAATAAGTTGGCGTTTTAGCTTTTGGACCTTTTTTAGCCATGGAAAGTCATAAAGGTGGAAACTTTATGACTTAAGTCGATGTTTTGAGTCTAGATCTGATCTCTAGACAAAAGGTCTTAACGAGTTAAGCACTGAAGAAAGGAATTATCTTGGACGTATATATATTGGGCGTACCCGAGAGTACGCTGTGCGTACTAGCCCTGAGTCACGTACGCTAGGCGTACTCAGCTGCCTTGGACTTTGACTGTTGTTGACTTCGCTGACTGTTGACTTTTGACCAAGTTTGACTTTGGGTCAAACTTGAAGATTTTTGGGCTATTGATTAAGATTATATTTGGTTCTGGTGTTAGTGGATTTGTTGGTGCAAGCAGTATAGAAAAAGGATAGTATCGCAGTGCTTCAGAGTTCTTCGATTCAGTTGAGTTTTCCTCACTGTACTTGTGGGTTGAAGGAACCAATGTAAGCCTACTAGATTATGTATCTTGGTATAGAGGATGTTTCTATGTTGTAGTGAATTGTTAGATTTGTGTCTTGGTATATAGGATGTTGATATGCTGTAGTAATCCGTGAATCTGTCTGTTTGTCTGATGGCTGGTTATATGATTAAATGTTGATGGATATCTGTTATTTGTTATGTATATTTCGACATAGTATGGTGGGGTTGAGACTGTATTGCTTTGTGTTGTCAGTCAACAGAACGGGGAATTCTAATCGAAAGGTTGTGGTTCGGGGCATTCCACCCGGAAGGTTGTGGACCATGGGTAATCCAACCAGGAGGTTGTGCACCCAACATGTATTAGACAATCCAACCGGAAGGTTGTGGGCCAGGGGTAATCCATCCAGGTGGTTGTGGACCCAAAATGCATTCGGCAATCCAACCGGAAGGTTGTGGGCCAGGGGTATCTGTTTGGTTATATGTTTGTGTGGTGGTACTTTCGGGGAACTCACTAAGCTTCGTGCTTAAAGTTTGGTTTCATGTTTTCAGGTACTTCAGATGAGGGCAATGTGAAGTCTTGATCGTGCACATCCTTCAGTTTTTATGAGATTTGATTTTGAGATGCTCTGGTTTGTGATTATTGACACTTTGGAAACTACATTTGTAAACATTTATGGTTTTGGGTTGTTTTTGAAAATTGAAAATTCTACCGTGATTTTTGGGATGTTACAAATTGGTATCATAGCCTTGATTTGAGTGAATTGGATGAGCATTCGTGTGAATCTAGTCTCAAGCTAAGGATCTGTAAAAGTTTTCAAATTTTGTTTCAAAATTGTTTTCTAAATTGTTTTCAAATGAGATGTGTACGATCAGTCGGAGCAAGAAAATGTACCCCAAGATACCCACATTGTTATGTGTTTATGATGATTATGATAGAACTACATTGCTAGTACTAGGCTATGGATCTTCAGAAATTGCATGCCATAATTGTCTGATGTATGATGCCTGATAGCCTAGGTGAATTTTATGTATGCTATATGAAATTGACATTATTACTACGGTTGCTTAGTGTGTGCATCATAGTTGTACATAACTAAGATTTTATAATATAAGAATGTTTGATTTAGCCTTATTTCCTGTTCTTGTCTGTTAAAGGGCTTATGGTAGAATTAGGTATTCGACTGTCTATAGGATCTAGCATTATGTATGATTAGCATGCACAAGTGACTGTAGGGTTGGTGGAAGTTACATGAGTGAGTACAGTTTATAGCAGGCCAGCATGAGGAATGATTAGGGGTTGTTTGATTTTAAGCTTACTGGGTCCGGTCAGTAATTTTGGACTGATTCGGTCCAATCAGCCCGTTTGGTAAGCTCATAAAGTGGCTAACTCGGTCAGCTTTGACTGACCCAATAGCTTACCCGGTCCATTTATTATTAGTAGCTGACTCAAAAAATTGACTGATATGCCCTAAAGAAAAAAACGACGCACGCAACCTCCCTCTCTTCGGCTCTCTTCATCGCTACTGTGTCTCTCCCTTCTTCCACAAAAAAATTGAAGGCGCAGTCTTCCATCCCGCCAAATCGACGTCGTCGTCGTCTCGTCGCCCCCTATCCCCGCCTATCGCAACGTCTGACTTGTTGCAAACAAGTTTTTTTTCCTAAAATATATTTTTTAATGTTGAGGGGTTGTTTATGAACGAAAATCTGGAAAAACCCCTTTTTTATGTATAATGTAAGAAATCAGATTGTATATTGAATTGTTCAATTTTTGTTGATGTCCTTCCGACCTGCTTGACTTGCTTGTTTTTCAATTTGTTGTTTGAATTTATTGTGATTTGTTGCTGGATTGATGTTCGAATATACACCATTATTGTTGAATTATT